CGGGACACGGAGACGCGCAGCAGCACGGCTTTTCCCACCGCCGTGGTCTCCGGAGGGACACGGCGTGTCCCAGTCCTTCCCGGCCGTGTCCCCATCCCTTCCCGGCCATGTCCCATCACTTCCCATAGCGTGTCCCATCCCTTCCCACACCATGTCCCATCCCTTCCTGGCCATGACCCATCCCTTCCCGGCCGTGTCCCCAACCCTTGCCTTGGCTGCGCTTGGCTTTGCACCTGGTGGAGCAGCGAGGTGGGATGAGAGGGTCTCCAGATGCCACCTCAACCCTTCGGTGACCATGGTGGAGCAGCATGAGGATCCCACCTCAACCCTTTGGTGACCACAGCAGAGCACCAAGGGGATCCCACCTCAACCCTTTGGTGACCATGGTGGAGCACCATGAGGATCCCACCTCAACCCTTTGGTGACCACAGCAGAGCATCATGAGGATCCCACCTCAACCCTTTGGTGACCATGGCAGAGCACCATGAGGATCCCATCTCAACCCTTCAGTGACCATGGTGGAGCACCGTGGGGATCCCATCTCAACCCTTTGGTCCCCCGGGGCCCCGGTGCCGTGCTCCAGCCTGGGAAGTGCCTGCATGGGTCGGCTTTGACTCCTCAGCCTCCCCCGGGAACCGGGGGGCCCCTGGGCAGCTCCTTTGCTGCACAGTTAATGGTACTTAAAAGGCTGGGGAAGATTTTGGGGGGGGAGATGCAGCTGAACTGTATTTGTTCCCATGCTGAGTCTTTCCCAGCTTCCTGCCCAGCTGGTGGCCGACTCCGGCCGGGGCTCTGCCCTCACTCCCACCAAGGGCAATTAGGAGAGGTCTGATGAACCTGCTGGCAATTTGGAGAGATGCAACAAACCTGCCGTAACCTCGCGTACGGGTGGCCTTGGCCACCTTTCCTCCCTCCCCTCGCCCAGCACCCGTCCGACCCCATCCCGTGCCCGGATCCTTGCAGGGCGGCTGGAAAAACCAGCTCAGCCCTGGAGATTCCTGAGCCCGGCGCAATGGGAAAGGCAAACCGGAGCGGCGGCTGGTGCGCGACGAGGTGAAGAACGAGCAGGGTTTCGTCTAAGCTGGGGAAAAGGCTGGTTTCTCGCCTATTATTGGCAGCAACGTGGTGCGGATTGGGGATGAGGAGTGGGGAGAAGGGAGAGGACGTGTCACCGAGCCGGGTGGAAAAGCCAGCTCTGTCTCTTGGCGCTGCGGGAACCTCTCCCGAGGCCTGAAGGACCCGCTGCCAGATTTATTAATTGGGGCAGAAGCTGAGGACGGACAGGACAGGGACAGCACAACGCAACCGAATGCTCTCAGGGCTGAAAACACTACTACGCAGTCCGGGACGGGCAAGGCACCAGCAATCGGGGCTGGATGGAGGTTTCCCGGGACACGGCCGGTGCCGACCGGTGGAGCCGCGGGAGACGGCGGAAAGGGACGTTTCCAGCGCCGCGGCGCCATCCGAGTCCCGGTGAAAGCAGCTTCGAGGGGGCTTGGCCACCAAAGCGAAGTTTCGTGCGCGATTCCCCCAGGCGCCGTGGAGAGCGCCCGGCCCTCGACGCCGCAAGAGGAAACCGTCGGGCAAAGAGGATGCAAGTTTTTGCAGTCTCAAGCTAAAGAGTCTGCTCTCCACCTTCTGCCCTTCCAGAGGAAGGTCCACCGCTCCTCTGCGCGCCAAAGCCCGGCCTACGGACAACCCAGTCTCGGCCGCACGCATGTTCCCGCGCGCGTGCACGTCCCGTCCGGGTCCCCGCGAGGCAGCCGGGGAAGCACCAGTCTCTACCCCACGTGCATTCTCCGATGCGTGATGAAGTTGGAGCAGCGGATAAAGCTCTTCCCGCAGTCGGGGCACTCGTAGGGCTTCCCCTCCCGGTGGGTCCTTTGGTGCTTGATCAAGGCAGAGCTGACGGTGAAGCTCCGGCCGCACTCGGGACACTCGTAAGGCTTCTCTCCCGTGTGGATCCGCTGGTGGGTCATGAGGTTGGAGCTCCGGTTGAAGCTTTTCCCGCAGTCAGGACACCGGTAGGGTCTCTCGCCCGTGTGCGTCCTCTGGTGCCTGATGAGGTCCGAGCTGTTCCTGAACCACTTGTTGCAGTCGATGCACCTGTAGGGCTTCTCGCCGGTGTGCACCCGCTGGTGGATGATGAGGCTCGAGCTCTGGCTGAAGGTCTTCTCGCACTCCTCGCACTTGTAGGGCCTCTCGCCAGTGTGGATCTTCTGGTGGCGGATCAGGTAGGAGCTGACGCTGAAGCTCTTGCCGCACTCGGGGCACTTGTAGGGCCGCTCGCCGGTGTGGGTGCGCTGGTGGGAGGTGAGGTTGGAGCTCTGGTTGAAGCCCTTGCCGCAGTCGGGGCACTTGTAGGGCTTCTCGCCGGTGTGCAGGCGCTGGTGGGTGATGAGGGTGGAGCTGTCGCTGAAGCTCTTGCCGCACTCGGCGCACTTGTAGGGCTTCTCGCCGGTGTGCAGGCGCTGGTGGGTGATGAGGTGGGAGCTGCGGCTGAAGCTCTTGCCGCACTCCAGGCATTTGTAGGGCTTCT